ATACAAAAAGCATTAAAAACAAAAAGTTGCCCTAACTTCACGAATGGTAAACAGTTGCAGCAAGTTGATGCTGTTTACTAGGGCTGTTCTTGAAGCATAGATAAATGAAACTATAGATTTTAAGTGACTTTTGTTTTTATTTGTTTTCAAAATAGGCTTTATTTTTGAGAGCAGTTTTAGGCTCACAGCCAACTTGAGCAGAGGGGATAACCATTTCCCACCCGCTGCCCCAACGAAGGCATGCACCCCCAGCACCCATCCCCGAAGGCCATTGGTTACAGTTGGTGAGCTTGGGTTGATGAGTCAGCATGCCCTGAAATCCATCCTTTATTGTGGGGTTCACTCTGATTTTTAAAGAACCTATGTATTTTAAAAAGTCATAGAATGAAGGAGCTAATGTTACTTTTTGAAAAGCGTTTTTCATTGGGAAACTCAGAAGTGTCATAAACACGGGGCATTCCTATGAACGTATGGTGTGTCTGTGTATATGTATTTATTTAGTTTTGAGGCAGGGTCTCGAAGTGTGGTTCAGACTGGCCTCAAACTCACTATGAGCCCAGGCTGGCCTGGAACTCATGGTGATCCTCCTGCCTCAGCCTCCTAAGTGCTAGGATAACAGGCGTGCGCCACTACACCTGGCTCAAGTGTGTGGTATTCAGATGTAGGTTTATAAATGTTCCTGTGATACAGCCGCCCTGCAAAGGCCCCAGTGAGCCCTTGGGGCGAGTGGGGAAAGGTGTTGAAGCCAGGCTGTGGTGGCCGGGGGCTTGGTTTGCAGCAAGTCCGCTGTATGGGGCCTGCTTTAACCCCAGTTCCACCTGGAGGAGCAGGGGCCTGAGCATTGAGGTGAGCTATGTGCCTGTGCTGATAGTTAGAAGGTGGAGCTTGACCTATGTGCCATGGATTCTTCCAGACCTTAAAGGTAGGGGCCATTCATGGACGATGAAAATACAGAGACCGAGCGGTACGACTCGATGGCTAACCTTGATGTCAGGGGTTGTTCTCCTGGGGTAACAGGTGTAGCACTTCCTGAAGGTGAGCGCTCGCCAGCAGGTGTCTCATTGTTGTCCCCAGAAGCACGGCGCTGTGTCTGTGCTGTCCTGAAGGCAGAGGTCTGGGCTTTTCACTGGGGGAGGCCTGTGGGAGAGCTAGAAAATGTGCTTCAAGCTCTGGAGAGGGTGGAGTCAGGGCACTAATATTGTCAACATAGATTTGTATGTTAAAAAAGAAGCACACGCCTGCCTGGCAAGCGCAAGGTCCTGAGTTCGATTCCTGGTACAGACGAGGAAAAGAAGAAGAAGCACAAATGGAAAAGAAGAAGGAAAAGAAGGAGAAGAAAAAGAAGCAGCAGCACAGATGACTTTGGGGTTCAAAGAAAAGGGATGTAAAGACTTCCATTAAAAGAGGCAGGGGCGTTTCTGTGGAACCTGGGAGGTTGGGATGTCATGTTTAGGCTGGTGTCGAGGGTAGCCTTCTCCCTCACTGTTCCTGATGGGGATGCTTAGATATTCAGAGAAGCTGAAAGAACGCCTGGGTGTTCAGCACCTGTGAACACTTTGTCATGTTTGTTTCCGCTCTGAATGGGTGGCTGTGCGTGTGTGTGTGTGTGCACGTGTGCGCGTGTGTGGTACTGTTTAACCGTTTGAAAGTAGGTAACAGCACTGTGACATTTTTATTCCAGTGTCTGCATTGACAGCGAACACCATTCTCCTACGTAACTTCAATTCCAGTCTCAAAAACTGAAGAAGATTAACAGTAATACATTAATATCATCCAGTTTCTATTTTTTGTTTCAGTTTCCCTGATGCTCTTCCATGTATTTTTTCATTTTGCTTATTTAATACTATTTGTAGTAGTACATGTGTGCAGTCCATAATGCCAACCCCCTTGTGTGGAGCTGACACCTGTATATAGTACATCTTAATGTCTTTTATCGTCACCCCCTCCTCTCCCCTGCCTCTCCCTCCCTCCACCCCTTCCCTACTTCTTACTATCTATTTTTTACTTTGCTTATTATTTATACTTTGGGTTTCTTACATAAGACAAACCATGTGATGCTGAAGCTTGCGTGTCTGATTTCTTTCACGTAACATTGTGGTCTCAAAGTGCATCCATTTACCTCCAGGTGATGCGTGTTTATCTTCTTTATGGCAGAACAGTATTCTGTGGTGAGTGAATACGTTTTCTGTATCTGTTCCTCTGTTGATGGACGGAGGCAGCTTCCAAACTTTAGCTAGTGTGAGTAGTGCTGCTATAGACATGGGTAATTGGGGGGCACTGTAACATGACGTCTTTAGCTCTCTTGGGAAGATACGTAGAGGGGGAATAGCTGGGTCGTCTCATATATTTTTGGTGGTTATTCTTTTCAAGCGTGGATTTGATCAGATCATCACATTGCATTCTATATCCCTAATTCCTGAATGTCTTTTACTCTAGGGTAATTCCTACCGCCTCTGTATTCCCCTTTTTAATTTTTTGTTTGATAACACTAACAGCCTTTCAGAGGAATCAGACCAATTTTCTTCTAATTTTTGTTTAATCAGTGCCTAATCTTGGGTGCTTCTTGCAAATGGGAGCTTTAGGAAATTATTTAAATGCAAAATAGGTATTTTCTAGGAGATGTGTTCTCAGACTGTCCGTTAGCCATGAACGTGAAGCCGTCGCTCCTGATCACTGTTCTCGGCAGATAATCTACTGTTAAATAATCTTTATGTACCAAAATAACGTAAGGCAGTTGTAAAGTGTTCACACAATTTACAAGCATATAAAATATAAAGTTGGAGTTGTGTGATATCCCCGGATAGCCCTGAGGTAATCACTTTCCTGAACGTACACTTAGAGGTCTACAAAACATCAGCCCCGAGATCGCCGTGCTGAGCGTTCATTCTTTCCTGATTGTGTGTTTTGTTTGTTAGAAAAATTGTGCTCATCTGCACACGTTGTGGTGCGACTGGGTTTTGATCTCACTAGCTCTGCATTCCAAATGTCATCCTCTAGAATGTGTGGTCGAGGTTGTTTTCGCTAGGAGAACACAGAACCAAGCCAGCACATTCTTTCATCAGCGTTTAAGGGGAGACACACCCAGGTGTAAAGTGCCTAGCCAGGATTAGAAATGCGGCTTGTACCCACGGAGCAAATACCTTTCTCTGTTTGAGGCTCTCTGGCTAATGTAGGCCTTCAGACCCGGCCTCTGCCTTGTGTTTCAGGAAGGCGAAGGGAATCTATCAGCGGCACACACTGAAGGGGTTTGCATTTGAATTCTGGCCTCCTCTTTCCCTTTTCCCGTGGGGTGGGTCTCATGTCCATATCTCGAGATCAGGTTGGCCACCTTGCAGGTAAACATGGTACACTGCCAACATAAAGTGACTTAGAAATGCTAATGCATTTCATCCGGCCAAGTTGCTAGCATATGTATTTGAGGCCCTCATAAAACATAGACCTGTCACGCCAAGGAATGCACCATGGGCGAGTATCCAACACCTGCTCTGGGAGCCAGGAGTGTGTTTTGCTGTGTTGTAGGTTAGACCCTGGCCACCTCCATGGGCACGGGTACCACGGTGGGTACCACCGGCAGTGGTTTGCAAATGTTGATGCCATCTTATTAATGTGAGAATCCCCTCCAAGTAATAGTCATTCCTGCTTGTGCTTCTAAGTGACCTAGGGCTCAGGGATAATTCAGCAACCAGGGATGGACAGAGGGTGTTAGGTCTGGGAGGATTGGCCTGAGTTAGGGCATCGAGCTGACAAAACAGCCTGTGGCTCTTCCAGGAGGGCCTCCCCTGCCTTGGAGGAGAGCTCACGGTTTGGATGGAGAAGCTTTTTGGAAAGAGAAGCGTCCCGAGCCTCCCTGTCAGAGTGTTGCTGGCCGGGTGGGCTGGTGAAGCCACTCTTGCTATTGTGCCTCCACACGCTCCTGCTGCATTCTCCCTGGGTGGGACGGCAGGGTGCCCGTGGAGCTCATTGTGAGTGAGTTCAGCCATCTGTGACTTGGTGCCAGGGCCTTTGCGTCCAGATTTTGCAAAGGATCAAAGTGACGGTAGGATGGCTCTCCCCATCTGTCTAAATATTTGCTGAAAAAAAAGACAAAGGGTTGTGATTTTAAGTGCATTAAAGAACTCAGATACTTTCAGGGTGGGAGGTGGCTCAGTGGTAGGCCCTGGTTCAGTCTCTAGCACTAAAAATAAAGTGGATTAATTAAAAAAAAAAAAAAAACAATAAAGCGGGGCATGGTGATGCATGCCTATAGTCCCAGCACTTGGGTCTGGAAGGCTGAGGCAGGAGGACCACCAGTCTAGACTACATGGCAAATTCAAGGGCAACCTGGGCTACTTAGAGAGACTTTCTCTCGAAAAACAAATGAAAACTCAATTATTTTAAAATGGTTTTTAGGAATGGAGAGTGGCTGACTGTGTTAAATGTGTCTTGCTACCATTTCGTATCATCCCCTCTGATAAATCATGACAAGCGTTAAAATATAAAAAGTGAAAACAAAAGCTAACCATGCTAAACAAGTTAAGATGTAATAGTGCAAAGGGTGAGGGGGAATGAGAGCAAATCGTAAGTTCAGGGAGGCCCTGACATCACAGTGCCTCACTTTTTGCATCCGTGGAATGGGTATGAAGAAATTCCCTTGCTGGCTGCCACTGCACAGGGTGGTAGTGGCGGCACTGGGGGGTGCAGCGTCCAGATTCTCAGCCTGAGCTTCAGCGAGCAGGCGGGTTGTGGCGGGACGCACGTGGGACCGAGGTTGCAGACTGTGCTTTGCCGCATACCCGTGCTAAGTGGGTAAGGTGCACGCGCTCTGTTGAGGCACCCAGGAGCCACCTGGCTCACAGGCGTGCGGGCCTGCTTGTTTGTATGCAGGTGTGCATGCCTGACAGTGCGTGTAGGTGTGCGTGTGCATTCGCACGTGTGGGTGTTTCGTGTGTATAAAGCATGCATTGCACCAGGGACAGACTCCCCTCCAGTGTGTGACCAGGCTGCTCTCTGTCCGTTCACAGCTGTCCTGCAGAGGCCACGCCGGGCATGGACACCTTTCCCCGCGCCTGCAGGAGCACAGGTAGGAGTGTGACCGCCCCGTCGCCCAGTCGCTGAGGCCCTCGCGGGAGAGCGACAGAGCGAGCCATGCCTTTCGGCCTGAAGCTCCGCCGCACGCGGCGCTACAACGTGCTGAGCAAGAACTGCTTCGTCACCCGCATCCGCCTGCTGGACAGCAGTGTCATCGAGTGCACGCTGTCGGTGGAGAGCACCGGCCGGGAGTGCCTGGAGGCCGTGGCGCAGAGGCTGGAGCTGCGCGAGGTGAGCGGTGGGCGGGGACTGGCGCGGCGACTGAGGGCCCACCCTCCACCTCTTACCCCCTCCGGCGGAAGTGATGTGTGCAGGAGCATCTTGCTGTTCTCAGCACGGGCGGGGTCAGGCGTCTGTACGCGGGGTGCAGGACGCAGGGACCCTGCCTAGAACTTCTAGAGGGGCCACTTCCCGTGTGTCCCCGGGCCGGAGGCTTGGGAGAGGGGAACATGAGAGCGTTGCGCACTAAAGCTGTTTTCTCTCCTTAGAACAATTGCGTGGGGCGTTGCCATCTTGGCATCACGGCTGCCTGTCGGGGGAAAACGCCCACGCGCGGGTGGCTGCAGCTGCTTTTTGTTTGTTTCTATATTTGCCTCTTCGAAAAGATGAGGAGCAGGAGCCCTTAGAGCGAGTGTGAGCAGGGAGGCTCCGGGAGAGCTTGTCACTCGGGGATTCGCTCCTTCTGAGGCTCCCCCCTCCCCGTCATTTTCAAGCCATGTGACAGGTTCAGGCTTCACACTGGCCACTTAGACGGTCGCCTCTGTCTCCTGGGCTTTGTGTGGAGACCTGGGTTTCAGCGACCAGGAGCCCTGGTGGCTGGGTGGGCCTGGACACCCATCAAGTCTTGTGTGAAATGTAATCATAGACTATTCGAAAAGATACGCAGCGGTCCGACCTCACAGTAACATTAGATTAGGCGTCCTTTGTGCGCAGCGGTGGGGAGGGGATGCCGCGATTAAGTCCCAAGCACAGGCTTTATACTCCTGTATGCGGACGCAGATTACTGCTGTGTGGCTTTCTAGCTGCGTGGCCGTGGGAAGTTACTGACCCTCCTTGAGCGTCAGTTTTCACACCTGTGAAACGGAAGTAATGGCACTGATTTCCTGGGACTGCTGTGAATCTTGAAATAGATGCTGTGTGGGAACTGTGCAGCGCTGTCTAATGATTTATAATTGTTTAAACTCGAATGTCTCACAGATCAGTTTTAGGTAGGTCCCATTTCTACAGCACAGACAAACAGTAACCGTCGCCTTTGACTGCAGCTGTACTGAGCTGTTCCACGCGTCGTCTCGTTTAATTCTGACACGAGTTGTCCTCCTGCTTGCTGTGCCCTCTTTACAGAGAGGAACTGGCGCTCGGGGCGCCCTGTGAGGGCCCTGCGCTGCTGGGTCCTGCGGCTGCTTCAGCCGGGCACGGGGAACCAGTGGTCCAGACCTGGAGGTGTGCGGCGGATGAAAGCGGGTGCTGAGCTGACCCGGAACCACTCTCCTGAGCTCTGTAGTCAAAAGAGAAAGAAAAGAGGGACAGCAGGGGTCCCACCGGGGTTGTAGCCCGCCGGCGAACCCTCTGGAACTGTCTGGTGACACGGAGCCTGCCCGAGATGAAAGTCGTCAGAGGACGCCTGGGAGGAGCGTGACCTGATTGCCAGCTGACCGGGGGAGCCGGGAGAGAGCAGCACAGAATGAGGATCCAGGGAGGGACAGGGCCAGCAGGGGCTGGCGGTGATCCTGGCCCAGGCAACAAAATGAACTTCTTGGGAAAACATGGGGTTTTCTTTGTTTGTTTTTAAGGTCAACACATTTAAGTAGGAGTTTCTGCCTGGGAACTCTGTTGAGGAGGAAATTTAAGAGAAAGACTCAGTGAAACAGAATTCTGGTGCTAGAGTTGCGGCTTCTCTGGACCTGGGGGTTCAGCTCCTTTTCTTTTCTTTTTTTTTCTGGTACCGGGAATTGAACTCACGACCTTGCGCTTGCCAGGCGGGCGCTATGCCGCTGAGCTAAATCCCCAGCCCCAGCTCCTTTTGTTTTCTGCACATGGACTCTTAGGAGGACCCTGCTGTATAAGTAGTCTGTTTTCCGTACAGAGGGGTGTCGTGTCTGGAACCTCATCCCCATTTGAGAATCACTGAGGGGTTCAGGGGTTCAGAGCTAAGACTATGTTCCTTTATGATTTATTCACATATATAAAAAATTAATATTGTTGGCCCACCCTGTGCATGGGTTTCTGATCTGTGCGTTCAACTAATTGGAGAAGTAAAAGATTCAGGAAAAAAAATAGCCGTTCTGTTGAGTAAGTGGATTTTTTTCCTCCTCATTACAGCAGACCCCGGAGTTACTATCGGTCCAGCGTATGAACAGCTTGGGTAGTGACCAGGACTGTAGCTTTAACAACTGACGAAAGTCTTGAGTTATGACCCGAATGCCGGCCGCTGGTGCTTCCAGATGGCCTCAGATACAGGTTTACCTTTGAAGAGTTCTGGAAGGAACGTGACAGCATTCTTTTCAGTAGGGGGTTAAATGAGAAACCCTGGGCCAGTGTCTCGGAAAGGACCCTGGTCTGCTGTAGAAGGGAGACTCTGAAGGCTGTGTAGCAGAACCGGAGCCTCTTAACTGACAACTGGAGTTACCAGCAGCCCTCGGGAACGAACTGGGTCCCTAAGTCAAGGGTCTGCTGTGTTTCTTAAAGGCTATAGTGTCACAGCCACTTGCCTCTGTGTATGTCGTGCTAGCCACGTGAAGGCAGCTAGAGAAGACAGAACACACGCAGGGGTGTGTGTGTGAGTTACATGCGGGGGCCGTGCCATTGTGGGTTTTGGTGTCTGAGGGGGTCCTGAGACTAACCCTAAGGAATGCGTGCGTGGTTACGGCACTTGACACAGGGTGTACTGTGTGTTTGTGGCGAGGCCCTTTAGAGTCGGTACTGGAATGAGGGAGAATAAACCCGAACCTGGCAGCTGCTGAGGCCGTGGGTGAGTGGAGCTGTGCGGACTGCTAGCTCTGCCCGTCCTTCCTGACGCCCATGGGCACACTGCAGTGGGCGGAGTCGAGAACAGGGAAGGAAGCAACAGAATTTGGTGGCTTGAATGGGAAGCTTAGAGCACGGTGCTGCCTTAGTAGCTGTGTAATTGTAGAGTGCCCCGCCCCCCACCACCCTGGGCCTCAGGTTCTCATCTGTAGAGCAGAGGAAGTGATAGGAGCAGCAGTGTCACAGGGCCTGGCACATCGCCCAGCAGGGCTACCTGAAGACACCATGTGACTTTTCCGCAGTGGAACTTCCTTCCAGAGGGTGGGCTCTCACCTTTCGTGTCTGCTTGTTCCATTTCTAGATGGTTTTAATGATTAGAAACCATCATCTACATTGAGCCAAAATAGCAAAGTCTCCAGCTCCTTGAAGAGTTATTAAGAATGGCACTGTCTACCAGGATTTTGGGAAGCTGAGGCAGGCAAGTCACCTCGTATTTGAGGCCATCCTGGGCTGCATAGTGAGTTCTAAGTCAGCCGGGGCTTCATAGTGAGACTCCTCCTCCTCAAAAAAAAAAAAAGCTCAAGCCCAGCCCCGGCAGCCTTGTGACTTACTGAGATTCTGTCTCAGAGTAAAATTTGTAGAAAAGGCCTGGGTGTGTAGCTCAGTGTGAAGGCCCTGGATTCAATCCCAGTACTGAAAACTGAAAAACCCACGCTGTCCAACATAGTAGCCACATGTAGACTACCAAACACTCAAACTGTGGCCGGCTCTGTGTGTGTCTCATACCAGATGCTGAAGACTCGGGGCTGGGGATTTAGCTCAGCGGCAAAGCGCCTGCCTGGCAAGCGCAAGGTCGCGAGTTCGGTTCCCGGTACCGGAGAAAAACCAAAAAAAAAAAAAAAAACAAACAAAAAACCAGATGCTGAAGACTCAGTGTGGAAAAGAGGAATTCAGCTATCCAATAATTAAGCTGGGCATCTTGGTGCACACCTGTAATCCCAACACTTGGGAAGCTGAGGCAGGAGGATCAGGAGGATCGCTGTGAGTTTGAGGCCAGCCTGGGCTACATAGTAAGACCTTATCTCAAACAAAGCAAAACTACATATATTGTGCCCAAACTGTATGCACACTTCAGAAAAGGAAAAAACGTGTGTAAATATTTTAATACTAAATTTATGGAGACATCATGAGATTAATACAAGTTACCTTTGGGCTCTACCATGACCAGAGGTGCTTGAAGTGGTGGCCACTGGCTTCCAGACATGGGTTAGTACAGCGAAGTGCTGCTTGGGTAACCTTGGTCTTGGGATTGCTGCACATGCGTGTTCAGGTTCTTCTCTAAGGGCCCGCGGTGCAGTGGCTTTTCTGTGATGTACGACAACCTGTTGGTGCCCCACATGAGGGTAATGTCATCTATTAAAAAAAAAATCACATTACTTTTCTTTTCCTGAAGTGTGTGTACTTTTTTGGTGGATTCTCTCTGTATATAAATATCCAGTAATTACTTTTACATTGATGATAGGTTGAGATGATATTTTAAATACATCATTTTTCAGTAAAACTTATTAAAGTTAATTTTACCTTGGTACTCTTAAAAGTAGCTACTAGAAAATTTAAAATTGAGTATGTGACTGATATTTCTAGTCAATAGTGGTGTGGTAACAAAGGCAAAGAGGGCTTTTTTGTTTGTTTGTTTGTTTAGTTTTTTGACACAAGGTCTTCCTCTGTAGTCCAGGTTGGCCTTGACCTCAAGGTAATCTTCCTGCCTCAGCCTCCTGAGTGCTGGCATGACAGGCATGCACCACCACACCCAGTTGCAGAGGGCCATCTGGGTAACGAGAATAGTGGTGAATGGAAAGGCTTTCAGGTTGGGGTGTGGCTCAGTGGTTGAGTGCTTACTTAGCATGCGTGGGGCCCTGGGTTTGATCTGCAAGCACTGCAAAAATAAAAACACCAAGACCAGACAACCAGACAACAAGTGTTCTAATAAAGTGTGAAAATAGGCCAGAATGATATCCTTAAGTATAACCTTGTCTGTACATTTTACTTAAAAACAGTAAGTGCGAGAGGGGGAGGTAAATGGCTTAACAGAAGTTTCTGGGATGTTCCTCATTGCTAAACCCTCCTGGAGGTAGAGAGCTGTCTCCTTGGAAATTCCCGTGCTTTGCAGAATGAATGAAGCCGATGGTTAAACGAACAGTTCCCGATTTTTAAAGGGACACCCCCCCACCAATAAACATACTTATAATCGTTTTATAAGGTTGGTA